GTGAGTGTGATTGGCTGTTCTTGGATATTTTAGTGTGGTATTAACACGGTACAGTAGTGAGTGTGATTGGCTGTTCTTGGATATTTTAGTGTGGTATTAACACGGTACAGTAGTGAGTGTGATTGGCTGTTCTTGGATATTTTAGTTTGGTATTAACACGGTACAGTAGTGATTGTGATTGACTGTTCTTAGATATTTTAATGTGGTATTAACATGGTACAGTTGTGACTGATTGGCTGTTCTTGGATATTTTAGTGTGGTATTAACATGGTACAGTAGTGAGTGTGATTGGCTGTTCTTGGATATTTTAGTGTGGTATTAACACAGTACAGTAGTGATGTATGCTTATATTATTAATCCACTTTCAGAATTTATAAATGATATTGTACTTGGGTTTTTCAGTACATCAGAAAGTAGATCTACAAAACTATTATATTAGTAATACTTTTGAGGATGCCAGATGATTGTTCTCATTCCCCCATGTTTAGTATCAATAATTCCAATTTTCTAATATCCATAAGTTTTACTGATACTCAGTATTTTATTCCAGATGTCCAATTCCCACTTGCAAAACTCTTAAGCGAAAATTGAAGAGACTACGTTCATTTCCCAGTAAATGGAAAGATGTACCTCAGGAGTTGAGAGATTTGATCATTGCTGAGCTAGGCATGTTTATGTTCAGTTTGTTGCTAGAGAATTAGGGTTAAAATAAGGCTTTGATACCAGACACAAGTGTTATATATAAGACACATGATATTGATTTGAAAATTTACTCACTTTATTTCTACATCTTACCAAATAGTTACAACATCTCTTTAGTATTATAGAAAAACCTAAATATGGTAACATCTGTCAGTACAGTTTTTACTCTGTTGTGTTTTTCAACTTGTTTGATTATAGATATTACAAGTTTGAAGTGACTTTTTTTTTCATTGGGGATTTTTTAAATACGAAAGAAATTGTTAATTTGTGATTTTTCAGAAATTTTTTTATTAACATTGTAATTGATTGAAAACTTCAGGATATTAATAAGATGTGGCAGAATAATGTATATTTGGAAACAATGCAGTTCAAATAAGATATTCACTTTCAAACCATATTGCACTGAAAACAATGCAATTCGGCCCAGCGATTAGGGAGCTTGACTCACAATTTGAAGGTCGTGGGTTCAAATCCCTGTCCCGCCAAACATGCTTGCCCTTTGTCACGGTGGTGTTATAATATGATGATCAATCCCACCATTCATTGGTAAAAGAGTTGGCGGTGGGTGGTGATGACTAGCTGTCTTACCTCCTAGTCTTTCACTGCTAAGTTAGGGACAGCTAGTGCAGGTAGCCCTTGTGTAGCTTTGTGCGAAATTCAAAACAAACAATGCAATTCAAGTAACATATTCACTTTCAATCCATCTCATTACCAGGAGCATTACAATTTGGTAATATGAACTTAGTGCTATATCCAGTGTTCAATTTGATGTAGTCATTTCAAGTGTTGTGTTACATTTTTCTCTAGCTAAATTTTTTTGCAAATCCTTGGGCCTATTTGACAATGTTTTCGAACATATGTCCACTTCACAGAACACCTTCCCTACCACTGATTAAGATTGTCTTGCTTCACCTAGCAATCTCAACTTTAGGTTCTTTACACATAGTTTCTGTATTTTTCTGTCTAACTATGATATGATTGTTTATAATAAGTCTTATCCGTTTTACGTGTTAGTGTGAAATGAGGTAAATCGAGGTCACTGGAATAACTACAGTTCTTTGGTGGCATCTAACATCGGATTGACTGTTTAAATTTCAATTCATTCTTTTTGATACACTTGATAATACTGAGTTAATTTGAATTAAACATTGTGTGTACTCATATTTTTCTTTTTTTTTCGGTAATGCCATTTGATATCGTAGTTATCCAGCTTACATGTGTTTTGATGTAACTGGTAAAAAAAAGTACAGTTTATTAAGTTTCTGTGGTGTGGTTCCCACACACACATTGACATAATTAGTGACAAACGTTTGTGATTACAAAAAAAATTATAAAATGCATCTTTTAAAAAAGGGGACATTGATGTGTATCAGCAGATGTGTAAATAATTAATTAATAATGCTTTCTTTTTAATTTACTCTTGTTCTTTTTGTGTGTGTGTGTGTGAATCAACACCAAACACAAGCTAGCTATTATATAGTAGTAAAAGAAGATTATCAAAGTACTTTCTGACTTATTGAAGTTATGTGTGAGGAAAAAGTAGTTTGTTCTGTATTTCCAGGTTGAATAATGTGTTCAGTTTGTAATTTAAAGCTTAGTGTAATATTAAAAATATGTTTTTCTCTAGTAACTGCAGGTGGGTGGTTATAGTATTGTTTGTGGAATATGTTGGCTTCGAAAATCTTTACTTCGTGTTTCATTTTTGGCTAGTGCCATGCCCACAAGAAATGGTTGTTAAATTTTGAAACATAATGAGCTGGGTTGGTTAAAACTGTTCACACCAAAGTTCCTTTGATATATAGAATTTGTCATTTTTCAAGGATAACCTTTGCATTATGGTGTAATATTCATCTTAAGTTTCACATTTTTATTTGCTTGTTATGCTTCAGTGAAAAAAAAAATGATTAGAAGGATTTCAGTTTTTTACATTTAATTTATATTTACACACACGTTCTACAAGTTTCTATCTGTTTTTAGATACTTTCTTTGTACAAAGTTTTAGAACTATGAAATTTGGAGGATTTGCTTAAACCTAAGTATGCTTCTTTTTTTCTGTAACATGGTTGTGTGTATATTAATGAAGCTGTCCTCATTATTATGTTATTAATTCAATTCACGTGTAATTACAGAAATTCCTAATGGCGTTCAAAGATGTTGTTGTGGCTGCTTTAACCGTATTGCTTGGAAACTAGGAGTTTCTCTTGGATCCGAAGGTGGTTAGTAAACGTGTTAAAGTTATGAACTCGGTTATTATATCTATCTGTGACATTAGAACATCATGTACTATAAATTTATTGTGACACCAAACCAGTACTGATGTAAACACTTTGTATGACTGTTTATTATTGTTAATAAGAAGTATGAATAAGAAAAAAAGCTGTTTTCACTTACCAAAACCTATTTTACTTATAATAAACCTTAGCTGTGTTATACAGTTTTCCTAGAATTATATGTTGACATTTGACTTGTGTATCTCATTTTTACTATCAATATAGTTTGTTTTAACAGTATTAACCTTCCTTTATATGATTGCATGCAATTCAAAATTAATGGATCTACGGTAGTGAACGGAGGATTGTAAAAGGAATTTTTTACTCTTGTCTAGATAATCAGCATGGTAAATGGAACAATGAAGAAATCAAACTTCTGAAACAAGGGCTTAGAGAGTTCGGAATGGACTGGGATTCCATAGCTAAGGTGGTGACTACCAAAACTAGTGAACAGTGCAAGTCTTTCTACATGAGTTGCAAAGAAAAGTTGGGTGTCGAAGAACTTGTTAAAGGGGAAACACAGGTAACCTTATCATAAGTCGTTTTATTTTCTCTCTTATTTTTATGTAAAATAGTTGACATATTTGTGGTGTTGTTGTTGTTCGTTTTTTTTTTGTTTTTTTATTTATTTTTTTTATTTATTTTTTTTATTTATTTATACAGGTGATATAGATAATGGTAGCTACTAAATTGGTGATTTTGTTCTCGTTAGATTGATGGAGAGGAGATAACTGGTGGGAAACTGGTGGAAGACTCGGGGGAGACTACATCAAGCTGTGAAGAAGATAATTGTATTGACAGATGTAGTAGTGACACAGCCAGTGCTCCAAGCCCTGTTTCTAGAAACAGAGAAGATGGTAAGATATCTTGTGTATAGATATGTGTAAGAAATGCAGTAAAGATTTAATTTCAAGCACGTTACCATTACTTTAACACTAGAAAAATGTTCACATCCATACCTAGGGTATAAAATTTGTGAAGAACTTGTCTGCACTTTTATTTTACTATAAAATTTAAACATGGTTTAAAATCTTGTAATTTAAAAAATTATATTAAACATGGGAAATGTTGTTGCACTCGTGTTTTTATTACAAGTTGTGCAATAATGTGACAATGTCAGTAAAAAAATGTTTTGCTTATAGGTTTCAGCATTTAGAAATTGCCTTCATTATTTTCACTGACCTTAGTCTATCAGTCTTAAAAAATTCTACTTTAGTTTCTCTTATTGCAGGTATAATATCAGAGGAAATTGTCAGTACTCTACAAGGAATCACTCGATCAGATGATCAAACTGAAAAAAACCTAAATATTACAATAATCAGAGACAACAGACAGTTATCTCAAGATAGTGTGAAGAATAGCTCTGACTATGATAGCAGTGCTACAATGAGTGCCGACGAAGGTTTGGGACAGATTGAATCTGAAATGCCTGGAATGTCCAAACAATGTCCAGAAGTTAGACAGATTTCAGAAGAAAGTGTTGAACCAGAAGATCACATTCCATTGATGAAAACTCTTCCGTCAAACCCTGCTGTCAGCTATGTAATGCCTAATCCAGCTTTCCCCATTGCTACTTCAACAAACTTCATCCCTGTTGAAAAGGTATCGTCCAAAGAAGAGCCCACCTGTGTTCGTGATCTAATATACCAAGCTATTGAATACAGTCTGCAAGCTCCAAATAAATCTTCCCGCACGTGTACACCAGTACCAGTTATTCCGAGTAGTAAGGACTCTTGTGTATCAGAAGAAGTTAAAGAGGAGGAGAGTGAAGCTCATGCACCATCAGCATCCCATGAAACAACTAAATTTCCAATGTATAGTAATTCTGTTCCCTTGCCTCATGCCGAAGGGCTGGCCATGATGGCCCAGTTTTCACAAGCTCTTCTTCAAGAACAAGATGAGGTACAAGATCTCAGTAAAAAAGACAGACGTGAAAGAATTAACATTTCAACACAGGATTTCAAAAAAAAAGAAAGAATCTCCCCTCCAACACAGTTGTCATTAGGATCGGGGCTGCCTCACCATCAAATTCCTTACTCTCAGTATGGTGCTCCACCACCAGCTCACTCAAACCAATATAATAGATCCTTACAACCTCCTCCAGATATCCCTCCACCAGATCTTTGTAGAGATGTATACATTGGTTATCCAGGAAGGCTTGGCTTTGTTGGATCTGATCAAGCACTCTCTCAACCCCCTCGTCTGATTACTCAGGCTTTATCTCCATCACCTACCAGTGTACCTTCAAGCCGACAAGTATCCAGGCCCTCTGTTCCTCCACCACCACCATTAATAACAAACAATAAACAAATCTCTGTCAAGTTTCCTCACATGGCACCTGGGTCCATTACTCAAGGAACCCCTGTAAGTCTTTATCCTCCTCCTAATGTCCCAGTAAATCCGACTCACTATGAAGGGCTTGTAAGACAGATTCATCCCAAGCAAGCTAAAAATGGAGGGTCCATAACTCTTGGGACACCATTACATGATCAGGTAGAAAAAAGACCTGTAAGATCAGATGATCAAACAGCATCAAGTGTTTTATCAGTACCAGTTGTGGAAGGAAGAAACAACAGAAGAACACCATCAACAGAATTACTCTCTAAGACAACAGTTCCTGTACTCTACGAACAAGTGGTTGACCAATACTATTGTCGACCTACTTCGTCTCCATATGATTCCAGCCAATCACCCTCCAACAGACAAGGTTTTGTTAGTGAAACCTCAAGCTCAAAACAGCTAATGATTGACTTCAATACTTCTAAGCAAATGCACAGAGAAACTAGTAAAGTTCCATCACCTAGGGCTAGGGATTCTAGTCCCCATCCACAGCAAGACTCCAGGATACCACAAACGTATGCTAGTATGTCATATCCAGCTTATTCTTCTGCTTCCGAAGTTCGTTATACAAATAACTCAAGTTCTTTAATGACCCATCGAGACCAGCCTCTTAGCCACTCTTCAGAAAACCAGTGGACTTCTCATAGGAAGCAGTCCGGTCTCCATATTTCTCATGCTCTTGTAGAACAGTCACCATCAAGACATAATGTCATCAGAAGCATAACCTGGGGTACAGGGAAGCCTTCAGTTATTCAGATACCAAAATCATCATCATCTTGTATTCAACAGTCCATTAGTCCTATTCCTGCTTCTGGAACAAAAACACTTTCATCTCGTAATCCCCATCATACCGTTTATCCAGTGATGGCTCCTACACACGATGCCTTCAACACTCTTGTGGATGCTGCTGTGGCTCAGCCTAGCTTGGCAGTACCTAAAGAAGATAGGAGGCCAGACTTGAGTAGATCTCCACAGAACAAGACAATCATGGAAGGCCTACAAAAATCACTAATGGAGATGCAGCAGCATCCCAGATCTCACTCTGAATCTAGAACACTAGGTTCTCAACACCTTCAAGAACTGTGTAGGATAGATTCTGAACAAGGATGCACCAGTTCTAGAGCACATGTGAATGATGAAAGACAGTTTCAGGAACAAACAAGAGTGAGAGACACGTTCATTCCTGAAGACTACAAGAATGTGGCAGATAAAAACTTTATTCAGCATAAAGCTGAAAGAGAACAGAGATCCAACCACAAGCTTCCAACCAGTTTACATTTAATGCAGGAACCTTTTACCCAAGAAAAGTTTGAACAAGAACTGATGAATGCTAGATATGGAAGGGAACACAAAAAAGGTATTCCACAAAAGAAAGATGATTTGAGACAAGTCTTACCCATTGACGTGGAGAGAGGTGAAGAAGGATCTTTCCATTTGGGTCGTGTTCAACATCAAGCAGACTTAGGAAGGGAAGCAGCAAGAATTTTGTCTGAATCATTTCAGAAAGAAAAGCCTAACATAAGACCAACAAATAATCAGTTTACTGCAGTACATTTAATAGATGCAATAATAACACGTCAAATCAGTCAGAATGCAGATACTGAACCTAGGAACCATAATTCGGAAAACAGATTTGTGCAGTACTCTGGTGGAAGTGATATTAGGCCAAGAACCACTAAAGAAGCTCCAAAGAATGAAAAAGTAGTGACCATAGATGAGGTATCAGCTACTGATAGATTTGGTAGGACAGATACTCAGAGAGCAATCAGTCATGGTCAGAACATTCCTCTTGTATCAGAACTTACCCATGTTTTCACACTTAAGCAACAGATTGAAGATATCATTTCCAAGAACTATAATTGTTCAAATAATGAAAGTGTTTCGACTAGTTCACCTCTTCCTTCTAAATACACAGAAGGAGGTAAAAATACTGTTGTATCAAATTTTCCATCAAAAGGAACTTGTCATTTTGTGGTAAATCCTAATAAAACAAATTTCCCATCAGTTGATCCTCACTATTCAGTAGCTAGTGTGAGTAGACATGCAGAAGGAATAGCTTCAGCAGCAGAAACTTGTGGTCCTCCCATGGGAGAACCAGATCACACTGCTGAAGAATGCCCAGGATCTAGATGTGTGCATCATTCTTGGAAACTTCGTAAAGCTCTTCAATCAGAAAAAGGTCATAGCACTCATGATTCTGCATCAATGGGCACAAGTCCTGTTCTGAACCACGATGAGAGAGAAATTATTCGTGTAACTCATGAGGCTTCCCCTCCCAGTCATACATTAACAAAAACTCCCAACTTCCAACAAGGTTTCCCTCTAACATCATACACTGTGGAACCCATTTCCCCACCAACACAAAAGACTGAAACTAGCAATGAGTCTGGTGGAGAAAATGTTCTTGGGTCTTCTCTGGGTGCACTTTCACAGAATTTTACTTGGTCCCCTAGTGCTAGCATTGCTGGGATGTTTGCTTCCAGACGAGGGTATTTGCAACAACCACAAGTGTCTGGTCGCATATCCCACCAAAATCAAATGAACTTGTCTCCTTTGGATTATGTTAAAAATAAAATTGTTGAAGTAATGAAAACTGAAAGTACTGAAGTGCAGAGCCAGAAACTCTGTAGCCAATCCACAACTAACGAAAACTTAAAGTTTCCAAGTACTCAACATAATATGAATGAAGAGAATAATGCTTTAGAAAGACCTCGGAGTAATGGTCATTGTATGGCTCTCCAAGATCCACTCTCTTCTCAGAATGAAGTAACTTATGGCTCAAGTATTATTCCCACATCTCGACCTTCCTCTGCTATTGAAATAGGATCTAGCCAAACTGTAAAAAATATTTCAAGAGGTTTGAAGAGATCTTTTGACACTGCAGGTCTTGGAGAATCACACATAACTCGTCCTAGATCTGTCTCTCCAAGCAGTTCTAATCTGGGTATTGGAAATGGAGATGAGCTAGGAAAAAGATTCAGGATAAATTCCAGATACATACCAGAGAGTTCCACTGATGGAGTGATACAACAGCTCCCAGAGAGCTCTGAGAGACCTTCACAGGAAGTTCCTCGGCTGAGTAGCTCAGAAGACTTTGCCGAGAGCAAAGGTTTTGTAACAGAAAGTTGTACTTCCCCAAATATAGTATCAGATAGTGGAACATTAGATTCTGGCCCACAGTCAAGTCAGCAGGATGATAGAGTGCCTGGTGTTGAGAGTTCTACAGATGATATTAGAAACGAAGGACAACAATGGGAAGTTACCTCTGGTAACACTGATGACAGACTATTACCTGACGTGAGTTCCCAACTCATAGACAGTCCAGGATCTGGGGAAATGGTAATTGATGAATCATCAAATGTGAACAGTGCATCCTCCTCCAGGATTGAACCAGTTTCGCCGCCACCTCAGGAAGGAATTTCTACATCTGGACGAATTGAAGGCTTAGAAGAAGCACCAAGTTCCACCAGCAGTGAATTGGCTCAAAATAGTTTTGTCACCTCCTCACTTGGTCACAGCAACCAAGCTTCGACTTCATTGGCCAGCAGTTCAGCACGAGGCTGTTACTCTCCCTATGGTCCATCAGCATCTGTTTCCAGTAGTACAGTAGGTGGCAGCAGTCCTGGACCTTCTAGTTCTTTGATGCCTTCTGGAACAGCACCATTTCCTGCTTTCACTGGTGTGACCACCACATATACATATCCATTTTCAGCTCTAACTGTTCGTCCGGTAGGTTATTCAGAAAACAGTCCATCGTCAGTACCAAACACTGTTTCGGGAACGACGGTTGGTTACCCTGCTAATCCATCCACAGCATGTGGTCCCAGTTTCAGTGTAATTGCTAATAGTTCATCTAGTAATTCTCCAACGTCAAGGTCTTGTGACTCTCATCATGTGTCACTTTTGTCATCACAGTACGAGCCTTTGTCTGATGAAGATTAGGTTTTACTCATGGACAATTTATTCTTTCATATTTGGTGCTTTGTCATGAAACCTTATTATATTGTGAAGACTGTTGATATGATCATCAAATTCTGGAGCTTTGCTCATTAGACTTCAAAATAACCATAAAACTTATGGAAAACATATAATTATCTCAAATTTGAACTTTGCTTCTAAAACTAAAAAGAAATGGACTTAAAATGTGGTCTCTCATAGATTTTTAGAGCTGGTGAAATGTACATGGTCATCTTGTAGAGAAAGGCAAGAAACATCTATGTATTATTATTAAAATTTATTTTGCAAGTTTTGTGTTTCAATATTATTCTTTAGTTTTAAAACTAAGCCAGATTTGCCCTCAAATGTTCCATGGTACCAGTACTCTGTTATAACTTTGCTCAGTGTGATATGTATAAAGTAACAAAAGGAATACTAATTGGTGTGTCATTTTTTTTATCACTTGTCTACACTGCCAATGCAAACCTTTCCAATAATAACAATAATAAATTCCACTATTCCTACTGTACAGTGCCTTGGTATGGAGTAGGGTATAATATACAGTAAAGTGGTGTGTTATTCTGAAGAATTGACAAACTCATTAGAGCTGTAAAAAAAAAAAAATCAGTTGAGCAAATGCAAGTTTTTTTTTATGTTCAACTTATATCTGGAAAACTGTCCTAGACGTTTTATTTTGTTGTTTTCGTTTTGCACAAATGGTAATGTTTGAGGGGAAGAGAAAATGATAACTTGCATTTGTGATTTTCCAAAATTCATGTGAAATGAGAACTGATAACTGTTTCAGAAAAAATAAAAAGTCATAGGTATTCTACTCATTCCCTCACTTTGTCCCCTGTAGGGGAAAATACCATTGTATTCATTCATACTTTTTTTAAATAAAAGTACCATGTACAAATGCTATTGTTTGTCTTTCTTTGTTAATTGTGTAACATCTGATTGAGTTAACGGCGCTTAAACCTCTCTGAATGACACAACTTTTTTTTTCATGTTACCAAACATATTGAAAGCAAAATTCAACTAAAGTGATAGTTTCGTAATGTATGGGAAATTTTACGAAAGTCAGTTAAACTCTAACTTATGTAATATATATATATTAAACTAAGTTCCGAGACGCCTGCTTGGCTAATGCATCGTTAGGCCTAAGAGACATATTTAATATATTTGGTCCATGTTAGACTCGTGAAATCATTTACTGAAAGAGCAACACATTTTTCGGCAACAGGCCACGAAACAGACCCCCAAATTCACAGTCTGGTATGTTAACTACTAAGTCCAGCTCTTTCTTCTTTGTATTTTGCATATATAGTTTAATGCACTTTTAACGTTTGCAATCTCTCAACAACACCTTAAATATGTTGATAGTAAAAAAAAAAAAAAAATAAGACAAGAAACGTTTGGATGATCATAAACAAATCACTCGATAAAACCCTAACACCCCAAGCAGATGGACCTGTCTCCAATAGGGCTTTACCAAGAAAGGTAAAGCACTTCCTCTAATACACAATTAAACTAAGATGGTGTAAACATATTGGTGCGTTGCACTATCAATGTGCAATACTCATTTGATATTTCACTCGAGTGGTCTTTTTAATTCCTCATACATTTATTATTATTTAGTTAGGAAGACGGGAGATATATCAGACCTAAAAACAAAACTATAAATTAAGGTAGTCCATTCAATACAACAGACTTACTAGTGGAACACGATATTATACGCTAATACGTCATAAAACTTAGAATAAGCTGAATCACCTGTCGAGTACCTTTGATATTAATATTTTCGGCGAGTATATCGTGAGGTTCCGCCTTAACTATCGTTGCTATTATTCGGATTATAATATTTAAGTAAGAAGTTATATTGATGATATTAACGACAACTTGAAATCACCATGAACATGTTTTTGTCTCTGCCGAAAGGTGGAGGAGAGAGTAAAATTATGGAATACAACGGGGATATATATAATTTTCGAGAGCTTATGGCGGAAGTTATGTTCCCCACATACAAGAGTTTTTCTTTTAAAGTTAATATTTGAGATCTTTATTTTACTGTGAAGACAATAACAAAATAGCATCTTAAACTAATTTGAGTAATAAAAAGCATGTTTATGGTAGTACTCTCAATAAAAGTCACATAAGAATTCGCGCGACAAGTTGAGATTTTTTTTTTAGGTCAATAGTATAATATGTTTACTTAATTTTGACTGTTTAAAAGAGATTACAATACTGTGAAACTAACGGTTATGATATTTTGACTGTATTGTTCCATTTTTTCTCCCATCCCACCAACGTCCTATATACCTACCTTCCGAAAAATTATTACAACCCAATTTTAGATATGCCCATGTGTTCACATGCTCGTTCTTTAAGGTGACGTTTGGTTTCACCAATGTAGGAGGTATTACAGTCTCCGCACGTGCATAAGTAGACAATATATGAACAATGGGCAGTCGGCAAACGATCTTTGTAGCGGAAATAATTTTTTAGTCTGAAATTGGGTTTCATGATAACTTTCAGGTCAATTTGGGGATAGTAAATGTATGTTGATGATATTTTCCTTAATTTCCGCCATATTGATCATATCCAACGCCCCTCTGTACATTTCACTCATGAAATTGAGACAAATAACTATTTCCTTTCCTTTCTTGTTAACCATGACGCTAATGGCTTTTCAACTTCTGTTTATCGTAAAACTAAAAACACATTTATTGGCCTTTTCGCTCAGTTCGATAGTTTTATACCCTTCTCTTTCAAACACAGCCTTATTCTTTTTATACTAGATAGAGCCTACAAACTTACCTTATCCTATCTAGCCTGCCCCCAATGGCACAGCGGTATGTCTGCTGACTTACAACGCTAGAAATCGGGTTTCGATACCCGTGATGGGCAGAGCACAGATAGCCCATTGTGTAGCTTTGTGCTTAATTTCAAACAAACCTATCTAGCCCATCACAAATAATTACTTTCTTACAAAAAATTCTCTTTCGAGACGACTACCTTATGTACTTCTTTGAGAAAATAACTTCTTCATCCTTATCTAATTTGTTTGTTAAACTACCCAAGATACCCACTGTAACCAAACTTCACCTTATACATCTTCTTACCATATCTCGGGAAACAGCTCCCTTATCACGAAACAGTTGAAAAAATTATGCAACAGTAACTATCCCCAAATTGACCTGAAAGCTATTATGAAAACCAATTTCAAAATAAAAGTTTTTTTCCAACTCGGTTGTAGATTTTATTGTAGTATCAGTAGGTAGAGACGACTTGGAAACTTGTGAAATAAATGAAAATTTTTAACGGTAGATAGCCAATAATAAGCGCAATTTTTTCGAGTACACAGAAATGTTCTATCAGAAAAATGTTACATATTAATGAGTGTTTACTGTTCTGCATATTTTATGACTGCCCGAATCGCTGTTGAGCTTTTCTTTATTATTATATTCTTATTATGGCTAGTAATATATGTGATTTTGAACT